CCACTGTACCTGCGTGGCCACTGTTCCAGACTCTCCCCTACTCAAACCAGGCAAGAAACCAAATTGATTTTTAGATAGTAAATTATTGGAGTTCAAAAACTCAACCAATCTAGATTTAAGACATTTTTCAAAAATTTTTGTCAGATTTGAGATGACACTTATTGGTCTATAGTTGTTTATATCTTCTTTGTCTCCAGACTTATGTATTGGTGTTACAACGGACGTTTTGAATTGTGGAGGGACTTTTCCTGTTTTAAAAATTAAATTAATAATATAAACCATGGGATCTAAGAGATAAACATGCATTTGTTTAATTGTTTTGGTGGTAATTTTGTCTAATCCTGGAGAACAACCATTTTTTAAACTATTTATGTGTTCTATGATTTCATTTCTGTCTGTTGGCTTCAAGAACATTGAGAAGGAAGGACTGTCAGTGAAACGAAATGGACTTGTTGGGTCTTCAATTTTATCAGACATTTGTTTGCCTATATTTGAAAAAAAATTATTTGCAAAGTCCGCAATCATTTTCCTGTCAGTAATTTTATCACGATTTCCATCCCTTATGCAAGTTATAATTTCCCTTGTTTGCTGTTCATTTGTTGCCTCTCTAACTAGATTATAAACTTTTCTAATGTCATCTGAGTTATGATCTGATTAAATTTATCCTTGAAATAGTCATTCTTTGTACATTTAATGATTTTATTTAGGCGATTTTTGTACTCCTTATATTGCAATATTTTAGTGTAAGACGAATTTACTTTAAGGGATTTTTTCAGCTTATCTCGATTTTTTATAGACCTTATTATCCCACCTGTAATCCAAGGTTTAAGCTTGTTATAAGTTTTTGCAGTATGTTTTATATATTCAGAATTTTCTATTATTGTAGTTAACTTATTTGATAAATAATTTGTGGCTTGTTCTGGTTGATTAAAACTTAAGGTGTTTGTCCAGTTTACCTCGGATGCAAATCGATTTAATTTATTCATATCAATGGATTTAATATTTTTTTCAAAATTAGTTTTTGTAGTATTATTTAAAATTGAATTATTTGAGATATTAAGCATAAGAGGCAAATTACAGTTATATCATGTTCTATAATATAGGTATCTACTTTCTTTGAAGTTACCTTATTCTTGTCTCGTAAGAACATATGATCCAGACAAGTTCCGCTCTCTTCCCGCGTAACTTCCTGACACAGTGGGGCATATCCATACGAAAACATTGTGGAAAGATATCTATTTACATCAGCATTGTCCCTATCATGAAGATTGATGTTGATATCACCCAAGAAAATGTCAATATTACTATAAGGGTTTGAATTTGTCTCAAAAAAAACATTTAAATCAATAATAAAATTATTCAAATTCGATGACGGTGACCTATATGATGCAAATATACTAAAATTAATATTATCTTTAGATAATGTGATCCTTGTTATGTTTACCTCTGATGTTTGTAGTCTATAGTTAGTAAAATTTAAATTTAAATTGAGTTTTGAGTAGATAACAATTCCATCAAAAGCATTATAGCTCCCATTATTATAATATGCCGAATACCCTGGAATGTTAAAATGTAGTAGAGTTTCTAATTTATGACATTCAGTTAGAATTATGATATCACAGTAAGCAGTAATCTTATACGTTTCTAGAAATACCAATAAATTATTAAAATTTGACTTTAAACCTCTAATATTCACGTGCAGAATATTAACCAGTTTATGACCTGTGTTTACCCTATTCACCAAAACATTGGGATCAACTTTTGAGCCAATATTTACTGACTCTGGTATAGTCTCAAGTATCTCACTGATAGGATCAGCCATAGTTAATTCTAGATTTTGCACTTTCTAGACGATACTTGTATGTAGGGCATTCAACATGAACGTCATGAGTTGTTGAATATTTGGTATTTGCTATATCACAGTTATTGCACTTGGGTTTTTGGTTCTGATTAACACAGTCTTTCTCTTCATGTTCTCCGGCGCAGTTACAGCAAACGAGTTTATTTGGACAGTCGCTGCTTTTATGGTATTGCTGGCACTTAAAACACTTGAGCATACTTATATTTTCATATACTGGAAGCCTTTCCCATTCCATGTAAATTTTTCCTCTTTCTATAAACATATGGAACAATTTCGGTGAGCATTCTGCATAAACTGTCTTATATTTTTTGGTTTTGAAGGACTTAATGTATGTCAGTTTAAAATACTCATCAGCTATAAATGGGTTCTGCATTTTTATCATCGATTCCATATCCTTTTCACTACAATCTCTTCTATATCCAGGTATTTTTATCTGCGGATTCTTGTTTCTATAATGTCGTAGGTTTTGCCTAAGACTTTGGTAGCTGTGTCCCTCATCTTTTTCATGTCTCCTTCTGTAGGAAATTTAAAAAAAAAAATTCCATTTGAGAGTTCTTCTCCATTAACTTCTTGAATATTATCATTATTTCTGTCCGGCCAGATGTATTGGTCCAATTGTTGTCTTAGAAATTCGATTACAATCTTCTCTTTTAAAGTAACTATGCGTCCCAAAAGCCAATTTTCTTCGTAGAAAATAGAGTTTCAAAGCAACTCTGTTTGATGTTGCCTCATCTTGAAATTTGAAGTTACGTTCTCCAGCAACAGTAGGGTTATAAAATAATTAAATAATAATTTCCAGTTTTCTCTTTTCGCCAACTGTCCTATACCTGAAACAATTTTCCCTTGAAAATTTAGGACCGATTATTTTGCGTTAGGTTGGGGAGTTATCTTTATTTAAACTTTAAACACCCCGTAGAATAGAAGAAAGTAATAGAATAAATGAAACAATTAGTAAACTCGGCTTTTTGAAAAAAAAAAATCATCAAAATGTCTCCAAAATAATATTCGTTCTGCGAAATTGCGTTTGACACCGATTATTTTGATTTTACATTTTACAAAAATCAACTGCATACATACCTGGATTTTCTTGGTTTTAATGAAATTTCATGAGATTTTGTAGGATTTCATGCGATTTCAAGAAATTTTAAGGGATTTTGTAGAATTTTTTGGGATTTTCTGGGGTTTAATTAAGTTTTTAAGGATTTTAAGTAGATCTTACGAGATTTTTTTGGGATTTTGACCAACTTGTACACGGATTTTGACGAGTTAACCGCCCCTCGCGTTAGTCGCGTTTGTATCCTCTCCTCCTCTTAAGTTTTTGATGAATAATTCACAAATTATTCATTCTAGAACATTTTATTATATCCCTGCTAACAGATGGCAATGGTAACCCACCCAAAATCTCGCGTAAAACGATGAAAAACGTGTTTTTATTGGGTATTTCAGTTATTTTATATTCTCAACCCTACTGATTTCGAATGAAGTATCATCTACATTTTTTCCCTAAAGCATCTGCAACTGTCACTAAAGAAAAAAATTACTAGACTTTAGAGCAAATTGTGAAAAGCTCTGGGAAAATAACTGAAGAGCCACTTTTCTTCCAACCCTTGAAAATCGTCAGAATTTCGGACACACATTTTGTTTCGTCTTTTAAAGGACCCCGCAATATTTAAATGGAAATTGGTTACCCGTGATATTTGGATGAAATTTAAATATGTCATTAGGGATGTCGTAAGCAACATTTTTTACCATGGGCACAACCCTGTATATGTGACAGGTGAGGCGTGGTTAGCTGTCTAATATTGGAATCTTATATCCAAAAGAAGAGTGACTATGGCAGATTTTGATGATCAAAGTATCGATGTCTACCAAGTCGATCAAGTCAAGTCGAAAAATGTCAACCATTTTGACACCTGTCAAAACCCTGCCAAACGGCAGCACTCATCTTTTCCCGTTTTCAATATTTTATGATGTCATTTGACATTTTTAACTTGTATGTAAATTCTGAATTCAAAAATTGTAAAAAAAATGACAGAACTGTCAAAAACTGTCATTTGTTTTAGTAGAAAAAAATACTCTAATCTGGTTCATTTTGTTTCAAGGTAGTTTAGCGGTGATAAAACAATAAACAAAGTTCATGCATGTCACATTTTGACAACTGTCAAAATCTGTTAATAGATTTTTGGTTCATATTGAGCTTGTTTGCTTAGTGAAGGTTTAGTTCTATTGTATTATTGTATTATTCTATCATTATAGTTGTAGAACTTCACTAAGCAAACAAACTCAATATGAACCAAAAAGCAAAAACAGATTCTGACAGTTGTCAAAATGTGACATGCATGAACTTTGTTTATTGTTTTATCACCGCTAAACTACCTTGAAACAAAAAGAACCAGATTAGAGTATTTTTTTCTACTAAAACAAATGACAGGTTTTGACAGTTCTGTCATTTTTTTTTTTCCAATTTTTGAATTCAGAATTTACATACAAGTTAAAAGTGTCAAATGACATCATGAAATATTGAAAACTGGAAAAGATGAGTGCCGCCGTTTGACAGGGTTTTGGCAGGTGTCAAAATGGTTGACATTTTTCGACTTAACTTGGTCGACTTAGTAGAAATAGATTTTTTGTTCATCAAAATCTGCCATAGTTACTCTGTTTTTGGATATAAGATTCCAATATTTGACAGTTAACCACGCCTCACCTGTCATATATACAGGGTTGTGCCCATGGTAAAAAATGTTGCTTACGGCATCCCCAATAACATATTTAAATTTCATCCAAATATCACGGGTAACCAATTTCCATTTAAATATTGCGGGGTCCTTTACATAATTACCTCTTCTGACGAATTTTAATATAACCAATTAAGGTACCTACCTCAATAATCGTTCTTCTTTCTAGGTACCTAGGTTTACCTTAAACACATTTTCATTATGGCTGCAATGCTAAATAGTCAGTTTATTTTGCATTTAGCTCCATGCCGTACTTCTATTTAAAATTTACCATACTTGAACTTCTTTCTCTGCTGTATTGAAGTTTGTCACCTAGATATTTTTAGAAAATCAGTTATTTAGCCTATTTTGTATACTGTTTGTAAGTAATACATGTCTGTTATTGAAAAAAAATTCTTTTGCAGAGTGTTGATGGCCTGGAAACTTGAAATATCTCTAAACAATTTACATCGGTGATCATGGCTAACACTGCCACAGAAAATGAGGCAGATTCTGGTAAGTAACCATATTGATTTTCTCTTTTTGAGTACAACATTTATCATTAAGTCCTATTTTCTTAACTAGATTATTAATTAATTAATAGAAACCAATTTGTCACTAAGGTATTACATAGTAGATTTGTAGTGGATTTCTATGTCTAGAAAACATAACTTATTATTTGTTTCTATCCCTATGCTGAACTGGAGTGACTGGTGGAATTTAATTGTATCATCCATATGTACAAATATAATTTAATAAAGGGAATGGGGAATGGTAGTTTTGTTAACACTTCTATTATAGAAACGATCCAACAATGATTAATAATATAAGTTCTATTTTCTTAAATACTTATTTATTATTTATGAGGTTGTTTGCTGTTGTATTAATTATTGCAATTGAAAACTACTGTTTATTTAGGGTCAGCCCTTCCAGCATTTGGTAAAAGATAACTGAATAGATTATACTGTTAATTAGGTACTTACAAAGACAATAAACTTCAATGATTTTTCTCTTTTAGGAAGTAGTGTTATTCCTATAGTAGTAAGAAACATCGAAAAACAAGAAGATGATCCACCAGAGGAGCGGGTGACTGGGTCTAATTCTAACTACGATTCATCAGAAGGTATGTTAACAAACGATAAATAATAATTATTGATAACATTGAGACTAGAAACTAATCAGAATAATAAATAAGAAACGATAAAAAGTAATCGCTCATGGTTAATATAATCATGCAAATATTGAAAAGGACTAGAATAGGTTTACTTTTATCAAAGTCTATAGTTTTTTTTCCTAAAGTACAAATAATTTTTTGCTACTCTAAATAAATTCAGATTCACAGTACATACAGGTTTTCAATCAATATCAGTAGATAAGTAGCTGTAGGCTGAAGTAGACAAATTTGGTATTTTTTTAAAATAATTATATCCCAAAGATAAATTTCTAGTTTTAAATATTTCTCAAATGCCTGCTGCCAGCGTTCCTCTTTCTTTAAATACTACAATTCCTAGAAAAGCTAAAGTGCATTTTCAGGGATTCTGAGCTCACCTTTCTCCTACCTACCTGTTTAATATCCTATTGTACTCAAAGGTTCAGGATAATCTGGCACTAAGGTCAAAAAGTAATTATTTGATCATTAAGATTTCACTTCCAAGGTGATTTTGAAATTATTTAGTTTTGTGCTTGTGGTTGAACTGATATAAGTGAATTGTTTGTGAAAAATGACTCTGCAGGAAATTTTACAGGAAAAGCTTATGCGAGCAATGCTACCAAGTAAATATTATGTTTTATTTATTATAATTACTGCTATCAAAGTGAAACTTGTGTAAATTGAAATGTTGGAACTCTAAAGTTCCAAAAAATTTAATAAATTAATTGAGTATCTATAGTTTATACAATTATTTATTATTTAAAAGTATAGGTATAGGAGGAAAGCCAGATCCCTATGTCTATTCAAACTTGACCATTTCTTTTTCGATTAACTCATTTTTGATATTACTATTACTTTAATTATCGGTACATTTTCTAGGAAATAAAACTTTTCTTTTTTCTTATGAACCAAAAATATATAAATGTATATAAAATGAGTGACACTTCAAAAACTTACAATGGTTATGTCTGAGGAACCAGAAAAAATAATACGCATTGCTAAAAACAATGTCTATTATAGGGAGGAGGAACCAAAATGATATAACACAGGTAGGGGGGTGCCAGTTAAGATTATTTAGTTGAGGTGGCTAGGGGTGAGTGAAAACAGGTTAGTTATTACATCATTATGGTTCCCCCTCCCTACTATTGAAATTATTGTTTCTAGCCATTTCTAGGTTATTGTGTCTTATGTCCATAATTTTCGCCTATTTCCCAGATTTGTTATCCTTTCTATTTTTGACCTGGCGGCCCTCCTCCAAAAGTCCATTTCAGTTGCTCTCAGCATTTTTGCGGTTCTGTTCTTTAGTGACCAGACCGATGAACTATAAACTATATTATGACTAGGCTGTTGAATATTCTAGTTTCGTTGGTTTTGTTGATATTTTGGTCCCAGAGAACTCCATTTAGTAGAGATCTTGCTTTCTCCGATATTCAATTCCTTCGTCTAGTGTTTCCTTATGTGTGATTTTCATTCCCAAATATTTGTATTCAGTACCTACATGGTTTTATTTCTGGTCCGTTATTCAATGCAGTGTTCCCAACTGCAGGGAATTTTCTCTTTTTAGGGGAATTTTGGCACCCAAAAGGGAAAAGGGATTTTTTTTTTTTATAAAATCGTCGAAATGAGGGAATTTTTGAGAAATAGAAGTTTGGCATCGATGAAGATAGGAGTTGTGTGCAGCACGGATTTGGACTGGAGTAAGCGATGTCACTCTACCTACGCCGAAAAGCAATACTCGAACGCCTGGAGTGGGTACGGAGTTACGCGGAGCGCGTGGAGTGACATAGCCGAACGCAGCAAGGTTCGGTTTCGGGGGTTCCCGGTTGTATTTATTTTAGTGCTCATGCTTAATTTTTGCAATTTGTTTGTAATCCGTATAATCATCCAAACGACTCAATTTTTTGTTTTATTACATACACAATAGAAAGAAGATATTTTTGGTTTTGATATAGGTAAAGTCATCTGGCATTTACCTAGATGTACTCGTAAGGCTTTATCGGAAATACTGATCCGACTAACCCCATCACCAACTGTTTGTTTTTATCTTTCTTTAATGAACACGATTGAAAAAAGACAAAGTACATCAGCTGGTGCTCCGGTTAATCGTATCAGTGTTTCCGAAAAGGCCTATTGGCAACATTGAAAGCAGGGAATTTTAACTCTAAAATATATAAAATAGGGAATTTTTGGGATCCATCAAGGGAATTATTAATCTGAGACTTGAGAGGTTGGGAACACTGATTCAATGTCAGAGTTCGTTATTCACCTCCTATAAGCCTAGTACTCATAACTACGAAATTCGCATTTTTTTGACATTGCGTTGACAATTTGACGTTTTATGCATGTATCAAACGTCAATTTGTCGAAGCAATGTCAAAAAAATGCGAATTTCGCAGTTATGAGTACTAGGCTTTAGTCACATATTTATATTTTTACTCATTGTTACCTGAGAAAATTATAAAATTCCTGTAAAATCGTCTTTGAAGGTTCCTGAAAAATACTTTGCCATCCCAGCAATTTGAAACTTCCAGGATTTAATAATTAGAGTTTTGCCATGATGCAAAACAAATTGGAAGTTGATATGAAGCTCACAACTAAAGTTACGAATTTTTTCACTCATTGAGGCCTGAGAAAATCATAAAATTTCCGTAAAATTGTCTTTGAAGGTTCCTGAAAAATACTTTAAGCCATCTCAGCAATTTGAAACTTTCAGGATTTATTAATTAGAGTTTTTTCATGATACCTAACAAATAAGAAGTTGATATGAAACTCACAACTAAAATTATGATTTTTTTTACTCATTGATACCTGATAAAATCATAACATTCCTGTAAAATAGTCTTTGAAGGCTCCTGTTCCTGAAAAGTATTTTGAGCCAATGCCAGCAATTTGAAACTTTCAGGATTTATTAATTAGAGTTTTTTCATGTTTTATTAGAAGTTTATATGAAACTCACAACTAAAGTTACAAATTTTTTACCCATTGATACCTGAGAAAATCATAAAATTCCTGTAAAATCGTCTTTGATGGTTCCTGTTCCTGAAAAACATTTTGAGCCATGCCAGCAATTTTAAATTTTCAGAATTTATTAATTAGAGTTTTTCCATGATGCAAAACAAATTGGAAGTTGATATGACACTCACAACTAAAGTTACGAATTTTTTTACTCATTGATACCTGAGAAAATCATAACATTCCTGTAAAATCGTCTTTGAAGGTCCCTGAAAAAAACTTGTGCCATCACAGCGATTTGAAACTTCCAGGATTTATTAACACGTTGAGTACCAACAATGCTTTAACCAATTCTCTACTGCTGTACCGCAGTGAATAACTTGCGAACGGATTGACATATTGATATGAAACAAAGACAGAAATGACTAATAAGAGTTCTTAATATGACTTTAATAACTCTGACCTTGAGCCACTATAGTGGCCACTGGTCTATTTTGAAAAAAAATTAGGCATATCTTAAAACATGGATGAATGTGTAAACTTGAACTCCCATCGCACTTTGGGAATTGGTATCTGGTTGTTGGCACCTCAGTTGTTACCGTTTGGAGAGCGTTGAATTTTGTGTTTTTTTTTTTTAGAATTGGTTCTAGCGTTGTTTTAGGTAATGAAAGAAATTCGGATCAGGATGCATTGCAGTTTTTCCGTAGGTATTTCTATTTGCTTCAAATATTTTGATAATCTCTCGGATAATCTATTTCTCTGAAGGTATGTGAAGCAGTTTGCCACCTTAGAATGCACAGAAGCTGCCTAAATCGAACAAGATACTTATTCAGCACAAGTGGAAACAGAGCTGGGAATAAGGACAGAAAATAGTTACTTTACTTTAACGAGTTACTGAAAGCAACGCGTTACTTGGTAACTTCGTTACTTTTCAGATTGATTGATAAGTAACTGTAACGACGTTACTTTCCTGAAGTAACTGCAGATCGTTATTTTGTTAAAGTAACGAGTTACTATGAAAGTAACGCGTTACTATGAAAATAACGCGTTTATATGGAAGTAACGCGTTACTAGTTACTATGAAAATAACGCGTTCTCTCAATTTGTTTATCTTCTTGACAAATAATTGACGGTTGAGGAAAAGGAAAATAAGTAATCCGAAAACTTTTTATGTCAAATAAAATGTGGGTAGTACAGAAAATTTATTTTGAAAGCTCAAAATAATCATTTTTGGGCGTGGCCTCTGCTCTAAAGACACTATATGCAGACACTGGGACGCTTCAAAAAGCAGGTTTGTCCAAAACCAAGTTCTCTATTTAGTCGCTTAATTCTTAATCCGTTTGAATTTTGCAACAAAACATAACATACAAATACATAACAAATTGGAAGTCGATGTGAAACTTTCAACTACAGTTACGATTTTTTTTACCCATTGATACATGAGAAAATTCCTGTAAAATCGTCTTTGAAGGTTCCTGAAACATACTTTGAGCCATCCCAGCAAATTCAAACGTTCGAGGTTTATTAATTAAAGTTTTTTCATGATACAAAATAAATTGGAAACTGATATAAAACTCACAACTGAAGTAATTTTCTGAAAAATACTTTGCTGTAAAAATCATAAAATACCTATAAAATCGTCTTTGAAGGTTCCAGTTCCTGAAAAATATTTTGAGCCATGCCAGCCATTCTAAATTTTCAGGGTTTATTAATTAGAGTTTTTTCATGATACAAAACAAATTGGAAGTTGATATGAAATTCACAACTAAAGTTACGAATTTTTTTACTCATTGATACCTGAAAAGTTACGCAAAATATAGTGTTTTTACACGTCAATAGTACAATAGATAAAAAAATACCAACATAACACCGTTGATAACACTTAATTTATACAAAATAAGAAAAGCATATACTAAATAAAACACATCAAACACATAAAGTAGGAACATTACATTTAAAATATTTCTGTGTCCAGGAATTCCTCCCCATACTGTAATAGGCCCCCTCCATGATGTGCTGTTTCACGCAGGCATCAAAAGATTTTTGAAACATACTTTTAACATGATTTGGCAGTTTGTCGTAAAATACCGGACAATAATAATTATCGATTGATACACGAAATCGTTCCAATCTGTGAAAATCGACCCTTATATTATCCCCGCGTCTAGTTAAGTAATCATGATAAGAGCTATTGTTATTTTAATATTGAATGTTTTTCCTACAGTAAAGAACACACAGATGTACCGGCTTGGTATTGTCAAGATTTTTAACTGAATAAACTTTTCTTTTACATCATCTCTATATCCGAGCCCAGCCACAATACGCGCAGCCAAAGAATTTTTGTTTTATTTAAAGTACGTCTATTGAAAACGAACCACTTCTTTAGATCATCCATCTTTGCATTCATGATTACTCTCAACTCTTCCAGATTTACCCCTTCCTGAATCACTGACGTATCATCAGCAAACAGTAAAAACTTAGTATCTGGTGATGCGTTACTTATATTATTTATATATGTGAGAAAGAGTAGTGACCCCAAAATTGAACCCTGTGGCACACCATGTCTGACTTCTTCCCAATTTTTAGAAGTAGCTCCATTGTAGGTAGTTTTCTGCTGCCTGCCCTCCAGGTAACTTTTCATCAAAGCCACACTTCCACCATCTAGACCACAAAGAGAAAGCTCCCGAATAAGCACCTCATGTAAAACACAGTCGAAAGCCCTTGAGATGTCAAAATACATTGCAGCCACATAATGGCCCTCCTCAAAGGCCTCCGCTACGTATTTGATGTGGCTAAGGTGGTGGAAGAACCGGCTCTAAACCCAAATTGGCAAGTCGCAAACAAACTGTTTTCTTCAAAATATGCATATAGTTGTTCTTTCATAAGGTATTCGTACACCTTCGACAGTACCGGTAACAACGATATTGGGCGGTAGTTATTTAGATTGCTTTTTTCTCCCTTTTTATAGATAGCTGTGTAGATAGGTATCACCACATAACAAATTGGAAGTTGATATGAAACTTACAACTTAAGTTACGATTTTTTTTACTCATTGATACCTGAGAAAATCATAAACTTCTTGTAGAATCGTCTTTGAAGGTTCCTGGAAAATACTTTGAGCCATCCCATAGATATTTTACGATCAATTTGAAACTTCCAGGATTTAATAATTAGAGTTTTTTTCATAATACTTAACAAATTGAAAGTCGATATGAAACACTCAACTAAAGTCACGAACTTCTTTACCCATTGATACCTGAGAAAATCATTACATTCCTGTAAAATCGTCTTGGAAGGTTCCTGAAAAATACTTTGAGCCATCCCAGTAATTTGGAAGTTTCAGGCTTTATAAATTAGAGTTTTTTCATGATACAAAACAAATTGGACGTTGATATGAAACTCACAACTACTAAAGTTACGATTTTTTTTTACTCATTGATACCTGAGAAAATTCCTGTAAAAACGTCATTGAAGGTTCCTGAAAAATACTTCGAGCTAACTCAGCAATTTGAAACTTTCAGGATTTATTAATTATAGTTTTTTCATAACTAACGACTAAAAAAAATAGGGATGTTTTCACCCTCACGCTCCCCAGTATGTGACGCCACTGATTAAGATTTTTGAATGTTCAATTTAGTATCTCAATTGCCATCAAATGTTTATAAAATACACCAATTTACAAAATCTATTTGTGAAGGGTTTCAAAGTTATAGAGAAAAATACGTTTTCCAGGTGTCCTATTCGAAGGGGCGTAGCTCCCTTAGGAAGCATTTCCAAACCCATATTAATAGGAACTTTTTGTCTTATTTTTATGCAAGGAATACGCCTCCGAAGGGATGCCGCTCACTTTTGAATCACCCTGTATAAGAAATTGGAAGTTGATATGATATATTCAGAACTAAAGTTACGAATTTTATATATTATGTCTATATACATATCTATGTCTACTGTGTCTATGATCAAAAAATGAGCTTCTCATTTTAGCCAAAATTATTAAGGAAGCTTGTGGTAGCGATAAACAAACTTATAATTTCAAATTTTAAGCAAAGTGATTCTATATATTTCTATATATATTCAGCTTTATTGCAGCAAAAAAAGACGGAGGTAGAGTAAAAGCATTTGCTACATTTTATTTATCCGACTTGTCTGTCGCTGTTATTTGCATCCCTTTAAGCTCGTTCCTTTTTAAAACAAAAAAAAAACTACATGTTCTGCCAGCTTTAGATGAAAAAAGAAGAACATGATTTGAAAAGTTCATAAATTATCTAGGTACATTAAAACAGGTGCATTTATTTACCATTTAGTCAGCATTGAATTATGGTATACTTAATTGCATTTGTATTCTGCTGACCTTTAGGGACATCTCTTATTCCCTCATAGAAAACAGTGACATCAATCCAAAATCTTCAGAAAAAGGATAAAAACCTTGCTTCTGTCACAGTTCTTCTGTTTAGTGGCTTAATATTTTCAGCCCTTTTTAATCTCCTACCGATTGTGAAACTAATTCAAGAGATTATTCTAGAACACTTCATCAGATCCCAGCTAAAAGTTAGTAGTGGTTTCTGTTCAGTTTTCTGGTGTTTTCAACGCTTCATCCCCTATCGATTGCGAAATCAATTAAAGTCCCTGTTGAAAAATGGTAATGGTACCTTATCGAAAATCTCAAAAAAAGGATAATAAACTTTCTTATGTTGAGTTTTCTGATATTTTCAACCTTTCACTTCCTTCCGATTGCCAAGCCAATTCGAGGAATTATTCTAAAACACTTTATTAACTCCCTGCTGAAAGGTTGTAGTGGTACCAGATCCAAAATCTCGGGAAAAGGCATAAAAATGTTACTCTTTTTCGACATATTCCACTCTTGATTCCCTACCAATTTCAGAACGAATTTTGAGGCAGTACCTATTTTAGAATACCCTGTTTTTTTTTTATGAAGAAATATGTTCATCAAATTTAGATTTCATACCATTTTAATGTATTAGTTATATCATATAGGTAATTTAAATTAATAAATAAACCATAGTTCCAGTGAAGGCTATTTTAATAAAGAAAAAATTATTTTGGTGGCTAGAAATCGCGGCTAACTTCCTGCACATTTTTATCTATTTTTTCTACGAAATTCAAGAAAAGTAATATGTATTTTAAAAACAGTCAAATCCGCTCAATTATTTAAATTGTTTATTTTGTTGCCTCCCTAACCCATCCATTTTCAACAATGGGCATTTGTGTAATTATTCAGCAGAAGTACGTGTCGTGTTACCTGATCTATGTATAGCTATTTCTTAGTATAATAATTATCAAATTCTCAGTAAAATTTGTTTTTTTTTTTTTTTTTTTCAAATTCAAGTTGGTTTCTCCTTCATTTGTCATTCAAACATTATCTGACTCAGTATTTCCTGTTGCCAGCTTTCATTTAATGAGTAAAAATGCTATTAAAAGAAAAAGAAATTGCCAAGGTTTGATATTTTGCTTCCCTAATGTTATGTTTCAATATTAAGTTCATAACAAGAATATCTTCTATTCCAGGTTCCCATAAATGCACCAGATGCGATTTTGAGGCTTCTACATCTACAGCTTTAACAAATCACTTTACTATCTCTCATGCAGCTACAAACGAGGTCGAAATGGAGGTTGCCGAAAATAATAGTTCTTCTACTGATAGGGTGCACAGGTAACGTTAATTAGTATCTGAAAAGTTTAATTAATATTTAATTAAATAATCTTTTACAGAAAAATGTTTGAATGTGATGTATGTAACATGAAATTCTCAAACGGTGCTAATATGCGCAGACACAAAATGCGTCACACTGGTGTAAAGCCCTACGAGTGTCGGGTGTGCCAGAAAAGGTTTTTCCGGAAGGATCATTTAGCAGAACATTTTACAACGCACACTAAAACCTTGCCGTACCATTGTCCAATTTGTAACAGGGGATTCCAGCGACAAATAGCCATGCGAGCTCATTTCCAAAACGAGCATGTGGGTCAACACGATCTGGTCAAGTCATGTCCTTTGTGCAACTATAGGGCAGGATCTATGAAGAGTCTTAGAATACATTTTTTTAATAGGTTAGTACATTTACAAAAAAACTGTGAGATAGTTCTAAAATCTTTTCTCAAGGCATGGAATAGACTTGGATAACCCAGGAGCACCTGGAACCCAATCCCAATTAATTGCTGCAGCAGCCCAACAAGGTTTCAGCCCAGTAGATGGTGCACTTAATTCTCTGAACCAGCTCAATACGAATTTGTCAGTAAGTGTAACATCAGGGGCAACTTACAGTGATTCTGGCGAGTCTACTGGAAACAGGAGTACCGATAACGCAACTCCGCCAATGCACTTTTTGACGCCTCACGTTGAAATTTCTATGGCCGATGCACCAACTGCTATGTATTCTCCTTCTTCGGTAAGCAGATTTTGTACCATAGTCAAATAAATCACTTAAACATAATGATAATTTAGGATCAAAAACAAAGGACAAGCCAATCGGAAGCACCTCGGATGGCGAACGGTGACAGCCCAAATTCTCCTCAATCAGCCGATTCCAATTCAAATGCGCCTACAAGCAGCCACATTCAACCTAATTCTTTGAGGATGGAACAGGAAACTAGTATAACACCATCAATTTCTTTGATTCCCATTAAACAGGAACCTGGTGAAGAATATAGCGATAACTCCAAAAGAAGTGGATCTTTAAATTTGAGCCCTGAATCGGATAGTGTAACAATAGAGAATGCGACTAGCAGTAGTTTAAGCTCGTTGATAAAAGTGAGTATTTTTCAATTAGCAATCCATTAGTATGCTAGTCTTAAGGGCCCCATACACTACGGTGAAACACGACGGTTTTCACCGCCGCGAGGAAACACGTCGTGCCAAAACCGAAGTGTGTGGTAGAAAAACACGACGGTTTTCTACCACACACTTCGGTTTTGGCACGACGTGTTTCCTCGCGGCGGTGAAAACCGTCGTGTTTCACCGTAGTGTATGGGGCCCTTTAGGTCTTGAAAAAGCACTGATTCTGGAGGTCTACCTCTAGCAAACTTTTACTTAGAAGAGTTAACTAAATCTCGTTCTGACAGTATAATTGCTGAAGATTTTAATGTATTAAGGTTCCAAAAAAAATATTTGTTTCTTTAGGTTTCACCCTTGAAAAGTTTGTTACGTGATGACCTGAAAAGAAAATTAATTTCCAAAAGCAATTCGTCCGCTAGGGGACGATCCACTGCCTCACCTAACAACAATAACTCTGATAGTCCGCCGACGGATTCCAATACAATAACGAATGGTAAGTTCTTCAGCTTTTTTCCAGCATAAGGTCACTATCCTATAGTACAGGGTCTTGATAAATTTGGAAGTTTGTGGGCGGTATTCTGTAAGAGATAGAGATCGTTATCCCTATCGCCATGGCACTTGCCATCTTCTTCTCTCTTTTGGAAATTAATAGTGATGGGACGTCAATAGAGATAGCAAAAAATATCTCTATTCATTACAGAGTCGCAGCCCGTTTTTGTACCTGGTTAATTGAAACTTTCCTGTATTCTACACTGTGGCTTACTTTATTTATGACCCAATTGGCTCTGAATGTATATTTTTTCAACGTGGTGGATTCTGGTGTGAATATTCATAATTGTAAAAAAGATATGTAGCTTATCAAAATTTATAGGGCTAGCCAAGTAAGAAGTAATATTTTAATCATTCAGTGATCAGTGATTCGTGGTTTTTGAACTTTTCGCCTATACTGGCAATAATCGCAATGTCATCTGCAATACGAAATTGGTTGAGACTCACTCCATGCCAATTTAACTTGGTGAAAACATTATCCACGGTTAGTTAGTGTAAATAATTTTTGCGATATTGTGTCCCCTTGTCTTATCCTCTTTTGATTGGGATCTTTTTAGATTTTAGATCGTCGTCAATTTTTTACTTGGATGGATGCATTATTGATGCATTATTATGCATTTATTTAATAAGGCTGGCACAAGAACACTCAACCTAATAGAACTGCTTCTTAAGCTGGAAGTGTCTGCAGAGCTCAACTCTTAGTGTAAAATGCATTAGCCGAGTTTAAAACAGTATAGGTCAAAAAAACGAATCCCTTAACGTTATAATCTTGTAAAAATCACCTTTTCAATATTTAAAATCGACGAAAAAACAAGCACAACCTGAATCTCAAGCATACCATCGAGGCCTGCGGATGACGTCACCACTATAAGCCGTTATGCTACCAATAGGCCCTGCTGACTCAAGAATTAGCGAACGTACGCCTGAATAGGATGAGAAATCCTGTTAGTTTACAATTCTTGAGACTAGCATAATATGCACAGCTTACTCTCGCGTTACCTAATGATTTCAGAATTGCTCTAGTTTCTACAATGATCGGCAATTTTAGAATTTTCAGGCATTTTATACTCATAAAATTTCTGCCAAATTCTCTAGAAATCTCTGTTTTTTGTTCATGTATTGCCACTAACCTTGACCACATTTGTGCAGCATTTTCACAGTTAATCAAATGTTGAATTTGATCCTGATTTATGGTCGATAACAAAATGATCTGAGCTCTAGAATTTCTCTTGTCCCATGCAGTCCATTCATTAGTTCCACTTGCAGGTTCTCTGTCTGTGCCATTCACTACTGGCAGCAGATTTTCTGCTTTAAACAGAATAGTGATACTGAATTTCCAAAGTTGGAAATTGGATCCATCAAATTTCGGGATATTCCCAGCATCAAATTTGAGCGACGACATCACTAATGTTTGTGTTAATACGACTCGAACGTAATTTCAACAACAAACGCCACTACACGACTTGAACGTGATTTTTAATAATAATATCGATTCACAGGCGACACACTGGCGCGTCTGGGCCCATAACCTGTTTAAATAAAACAAGTCGCCTGATCGATTATTAATGTTTATTAACAAACTCGCAATGAAAACAGAAAATAGAGAAACATACAACAACTCAAAAGATAAATTGGAACTGAAAAATTAACTGCTAGACTTCTATCGGCAAAAACTAAAAACAATCAATCAGCTGGTTGGGTTGAAACCTTTGAATATAAAACTACAGGAAGGAGCGTTGTCTATCTGTCACTGCAAACAAAAAAGCGACGGAAGCCGCCATTTTGAGCCTCCAAGTTTGGACTCATCATTTGTTTTGGTGGTTCCCTGTGTCCTCATTTAAGTGGATGTTTAATGGATTTTAGCGGTTTTAAGTGATGATAAGTACTGGAATTAGTGAGAAAAGAGTGAGTCATAATATTGACAATCATATTTAAATAAATATACGCTACTGCCAAACCGGAAATACTAGTCGGCCATATGCAACCTCCACATATTTTGGTCGCGCAGATTCGAAGTTATGCTCCTTCCTGTAGTTTTATATTCAAAGGTTGAAACCTTGAACCTAACATTAGGCAACCAGTAAAATCTTATAATACCTATTATGTAGGCCACAATCTAAAGTGAAGGCCTACTATATCAACAAAAACCTATATCGGCGAAAGAAACAATTTTTTTTGTCGCAAACAGCCACAATAAGGAATTAAAAATGCGGAAAAATTCAAATTATTTCCAGCGGGAAAAAACGCTCTGGTACTGGTCGTGACGTCATCTAGTATGATCTGTCAGTGTCTGTCAGCAATCGTCCATCATACCGTGAGTTCGTCTTGAAACACTGAGCCCTCGGAGTATTTTCCGTCTTTTTTGCTTATGATGAGAAGAACAGGGATAAAAGAACAAAACAGCAGCTCCGAGCGTTTACTCGAACTCTACATAATAAATACCCGTTAGCTGTGTTCATCCACGTTTTTCTCTAATTTTTTAAAATTTCATCATTTATTGGAATTGGTTTACTCAACTTAAATTTAATGATCAGCTCAGCATTATATGAATAAAAGGATATAGTTTGCCCAGCGGATCTGAGTCTACGGAAGGAATTTGGACGTAAATGTGCCATGTTGCCACGTTTAATTATAAAAAAGCGTAAATACTAGGCATGAAGTATAGTTAATTTGAAAATCCATTTTTTAACAACAAAATATTGATAACAATAATAAAACGCTAAATATTTTAATGTAGTTGTTAGATCTATCCTTATTTTATTGCTGATTTCTTTAATTTGGTAAAAAATAAACATTTTCTAAAGATACTATCAGCTTTTGACAATTTGGCAAGCATCCGTCCTGAATGAACCTGATTGGTGGAGTTTTTGGCAAGATCGTCGTTGACGTCGTTGTCATGGGGAACCATACGGTTGTCAATGAGCTAACGTCACCTTACGTCTCGCTATTGGCCAGGGCTCACGTCATTTTATCCTCCCATCTTGGAATATCGATTTATATTGAAATATCCAGTGGCGGAGATTTGGTCATTGCTGATTTTCGTGTACGAGTTGCAATACGATAACACTTCCAAAAAGTTCCGCACGCAGCTGGGTATTTTATGAATGAAATCAGCCATTTTTTTTTTACAACTGCATTCCCCTTACTGTTGCCCCGTAGACACAGACTCGCTGGGCAGACATTACCTATCAATTATGATCGGAGAAGGAAATTCCAAAGGCCAATCCCACAATCTGTAATTTGTGATATGGTAGCAAAAGTATGTATGTGCGAATTTTTTTTTCCATTATAACTTCAAAATTTACAACTCGGCGCAAAACAAAACAACAACAAAGCAAATAACTGTGGAAAATGTGGAAATCAACCAAATTAAATACAATAAAGTATGACGTTTGACGACAAGGTGAAGCCGGCGCCACACGATGTGTCGAATGGCTTTTAACGTTGGACACATAGCGATTTGTGGCATCGTGTAGCTGTGCGCCCATCGGATACATGATACATTTGCCGAATGCTAGAGTAAAAAACACTGTACCCAACGTTGGATCGATCCAACGTTGGGGCCAATGGTTGGACACATCGTGTGGCGCCGGCTTAATGCAAAATCATACTACGTGACGTCATCCAGATTCGCGCGCTAAACATTTTTCACCAAGTTATTATTGAGTTATAGGGAATAATATTTGGGGAATACTCTTTCAAGGCATAAATAAATGATTTGAAAAAATTAAAAAAAAATTGTAAAGTTCCCTAATTAAGTTCTTGAACTTGTCACCATAAAAACTGTCACTCAAATGATTTACATTAAAATCGCCAACCAGCACGCATCTGTATATTTGGAAAATACAGTATCACATATTTCTTCAAATTCCTAAAGAAAACTAGCATGCGAACTTGATGGAGAATGGTAGATGCAGCCAATTAACCCAAGTGACAGATGCCAGATGCACCTTAACAAATTTACACCAAAATTTATCCGCAAGTTCAAATTTCTTAACGTTTGAAAACCTGTAATTATTATTGATATAAATTAAAACCCCACCAGTATGTCTACTGTTAAAGACACATCTACAACACATTTAATAATTATATCAATACATAATTCACCATCTTCAACATCTTTGGTTATTCATGTTTCACTCAGTATAATGATTTTGGCCTTGTAAAAAGCAATGCTCTGCCTAATTTGATCTATATTTTTTAGAACACTCTGAGCATTAAGATAAATGATATTTGAGTTATAAAGGTGTTGTGGGAGTTTTTTTGATTATCCTTTTTATCCACAATCGTTCCCTAATAACACAGTAACATCGCAGAAACATTCCAGAAACATCCATCAGGGATAATGAAGACGTCCCTGGGAGGTCCCTATTTTCCTGGGGACATCCCTGGGATGTTGCAGGCAACAGCCGTGTCATCATTTGCGATGTCCTATAAACATCTCTCAGGGATGTTTCTAAGATGACGCGGGATGTACCTAATACATCCGGGGCAGGTGTAAGAAACATCCTCTATATGTTTCTAGTATGACTTTAATACGTGAAAGAATTTTAGGATTATGGATTAAAAATTACCTAATTCAATAATTTTCAATTTTCGTTCTATTTTCTGGAAGTCAGATAGAACTTTTTCCAAAAAAAAAACAAAAATTGAAAATTATAAAATTAAGTAGGCACATCAGTTTCCAATAACATTTTTTATTGAAAAAATAAGGTACATGCATACTTATATTGATTATCTATCAACTAATAATAACCGACGGACAATTTTGCCTAAATAATGTAGTATTTATGCCCCGTCATGTCATCGAAAACCATAGTTTGGCAGTGGCAGCATGTTGTAGTGGGGGAGTTCGGCGTTTTCTTTTTTTTTTTGGTGCTCCAATTTCATAAAGGTACCATTAACTAACCAAAACAACCACAGAACCAAAATCCAAAGTTCTTG